GCTCAAATTCCCGAGGATGAAAACTTTGTTCCTGGTGGCCATTACTTCAGCCAGGAGGATTTCGGAACTAGGCACTCTGTCAATTCAGTTGGAGCTGTGTTTTTCACAAAGACAAGGTAGTTCTGAGAACAGATTCCACCTTTTTTGCCCAAAGGTCAATACTAAGTTTCACAGATCACAAGAGATTTGTTTGCCATCATTTTCTCCAAATTCAACCCATCTGGAGGAAAACGTTTGGCATACACTGGATGTGAGGAGAGTGCTCAAATGCTATATTCTCAGAATGGCCTGTTTCAGATGGACAGAAGATATGTTTGTTAACATTTTTCCTCTTCACACAGGGAGAAAGATGTCTAACTCTGCCATAAGCAACACTATGAGGTCGTGCATTACTGTAGCCTACAGGAGTATGAAACGAGTTCCTGCAGGTATCACGGCCCACTCTCTTCACAGTGCTGCAACGAATATGGCCTTTGCCAACAGGGCATCGGTGGAGGAAGTCTGTAGGGCTGCTACGTGGTCTTCGTTATCCACATTCATCAGGCATTACAAGATATGTTTGACTCTGCTGATGCAGCATTCGGACAGAGAGTGCTGCAGTCTGTTCTGACTCTTGATGACGACCACCCTCCCAAAAATTAGGGACACTGCTCTGGGAGGTCCCACAAGATGTCCTCCACCTCAGAGGGAGAACGACCATTGGTTACTCACCGTGAAGGGTCCTTCTCCTCTGAGGCTTGGAGGACATCTTGGCCCTCCCGGGTCATCATTTCCTCTACTATGCTGTTCTTTCACACTCTATTTAAAAATAATAATAAGATTATGTGAGAGAGGGGACTCACCTTTTTCTTCCTGTGCGAATGTTTGTGATTTGGCTATACTCTTGTTGTTGATGGTCAAGTTCTCTTTTTTACAGTGGTTAAGTTAGTGTACTGCTTTTGGATCACCCACAAGATGTCCTCCACCTCAGAGGAAGAATGGTAGCTTTCCTTCCCCTATCCAGGAGACTATATGTATCTAGATCTCCCTGACCCATTTCCCATAGTAATAGTGATAGGGCATTAGTATTCCTTTCCCCATTCCATATATGTAGTGTGTAGAAAATGCAAAAATAAAAAAATTCCCCTTTGGAGGGTCAAAAAAAAAAAATCCCCCGTATAGTTTTAAAAACTTTTCAGATTTTTCTGCACACCTGGGGACTGCCCGAAGTGTGCAGGAAAATCTCTCTGCCCCACAAGTGCCCCCGATGTGTGGATTTAGATATATATAGATTATATGAAGCAGCAAACATAGAAGACTGAAACTAATGAATCTATAACATAAAGTCCATGCACATATATGCAGGAAGTGTGGTGTATTTGTGTATTGTTACCATACCAGCAAACATCCTGAACTCTTATTTTAAATGTTTGGAGATGTGGCTTCTGGAACACAAGATCAAGCTGAGGTTATTTAGTAGAACACTTAAGTACTTTCAAAAGGTCAACATTGTCAAGACATACCAAGACTTCACATAGCTGTGGATTTAAATATACACTTGCTACTGTTCAATGTGCAACTTTCCAGAACCCTAAATTACCAATTAGTATCCTAAAAATATGGAGCTGCGGTGGCTCAAATGGTTAAGACGCTGAACTGCAGGCTGTGGAAGGTCAGTAGTTCAGCAGTTCAAGACCCGAGTGCCGCATGATGGAGTGAGCTCCCATCTCTAGTTCCAGCTCCTGCCAACCTAGCAGTCCGAAAGCAAGAAATTGCAAGTAGATAAATAGGTACCACTTCGGTGGGAAGGTAACAGCGTTCCGTGTGCCTTGGTGTTTAGTCACGCCGGCCACATGACCACAGAAACGTCTTCGGACAGCGCTGGCTCTTCGGCTTTGAAACGGAGATGAGCACCGCAACCCTAGAGTCGGATTCGACTGGCTTTCGAGCAAGGGAACCTTTACCTTTATCTTAAAAATAGAATGCTATTGCTGTACTTAAGTGTTAACAGATATCACACTGTAAAAATGTTTAAGTGGTTCCTACTCTCACCTATATAGCAGTTTAGGCTATATTATCAATCTTTCTACTAAGGGGTGGGGGGAAATCTTACCTGGTGAATTTCTTTTCCTGTGGACAGTTTCTTCTGTATCGTATTAAGTCCTGCAACCTGAGACCATAAGGCAGGGCAAATCAAATCTGCCTGGGGACTGGGGCCCTAACTCCTAGGCACTGAAAAAGCCAGGAACAGGACACTACAAAAATAAACTACTACAGTAAGAGGTGGAAGCATAACTACTCACACTAAAAATCAAGAACCAAAGGTGTTCAGAGCTTCTGAAAATTCTAAGTAACTCTGCAAGGCAGGCTGAACGAACTTCTGTCCACAAGGACAACAAGTAAGAATCTCCCTTTTCTCCCTTGTATCCACAATATATTCTGGTTCAGGATGTTTAAAACCAGTAGCATACTAGGGAGAGATGAATCCTAACCTAACTCAGGAACACTGCTAAGAAACCAGAATTCCTTGCAGCTTAAGGACTCTTTGCAGCACTTTTCTCCCCAAAAGCCACCTCTGCTTTATAATGTTTTAAACTATGTAAAACCTGAAGAAACCTGCAGCAACCTAACATATCTCCTCAATTGGAACTCTGGCCCCAAAGGTTCCTGAAATGGCTGCCAAAAATGACCAGCAAACCCTTTGGCACAGGAAGGTTAGAAGTGGCTCCTCCCCTTTCTACTCTAGGACTATGTATAGGCCAAAGCTGCAACTTCTCTTAGCTATTGAGACAAGGTTAAGAGAGGAGATGTTGTTGGGGGTTCCAGGATAAAGACTGAGCTGCTCTGCCAGCCCAAAAGGATGAGTGACAGGTGTAAATCCCATCCTGAAGGGAAAGGGGGAACAGAGGCTAAGGAAACATACTGCCTAGAGAGGCAGTTGTACAGCAGCGCCTCAATGTCTGTGAGATACCCCAGACCCACTATGGCAAGTGACACCCTGAAGATTTAGAGACAGAATCAATTACAGCTCTGGGTGAGCAAACATGCTCTGGTAGGACTCCTTTCCCTCCTGGTTGCATGCTTACAAAACCAGGAGCACAAGCTGCATGGAAAAGGTAGTCTGCTGAGAAGAGAGCAAGCGATGCCCCTTTTCACAGGCTGTCTTGCACTGGAAAGTTTGAAGATAAGAATCACCTTAATCCATTTCACAAAGTCCTGATGGTAAGCTTCCCCTTCAACAACTGATAGGGAGAGTGATTTAGAGCTCTAACTCTGCTTGCTGCACTGTTTGAGCCTGACCCTGAGGCTAAAACAGCCCTCCCCCCATGAGACCAGTAAATGTATATACCCCAAATATATTTTTGGCTTTCACAAAGACCCAAGAGCACCTCCAAAAGGTGTCATGAGCAAGGTGAATACACTGCAAGAACTTTTGCCTTAAGATGTCCAGAGTGAAAGATAATGCATTTTTCTACAACATATTAAAATAAGATCTCTCAATCAAAGCAAGAACTAATCAGACGAGCTCATGGCAGGGACCAGGCTGACTTCACAGATATGTCAAGAATGCATTAATTGAGACTCCTCTGACCCTCCAGAAAGTTCATCACACATTTCTTATTTACAGACAACCTGCTAACCTAGAGCAACTTCTCACCTGCAATGATAAACCACTTAACAGCAACAAACCAAGATGCCAACTTTGTTCTCGTATTGATCCTAGCAAGACCACCAGTGGACCCAGCAACATCAGCCACACCATCTCAGGGTCATACTCCTACTAATCTTCTAATGTGACTTATGCCATCACTACACTGGACAAACAGGCCAGTCCCTTCGACAAAGAATTATTGTACACAAGTTTGACATTAGAAACCACAACATTAAAAAAACAGTGAGCATTTTAACCTTCCAGGACATTCAGTTGCTGACTTAAGAGTAGCAATTCTCCTACAGACAGACTAACAAGGCTACCCATCTCTAGACAGAGGAAGTGGGACTCTAGAAAAGAAACAAAGCTGTAATCTCTAAGAAGCTTAATCTTGCTACTGGCAGAAATACTACTCCCCACACACACACACACACACACACACACACACCAGCCTTTTGTTGTTGTTTTAGAGAAAAAAGCAAGCTCTAAAGAGCGTCAACAAAGCCTTGCCTATGGTATAGAAATGACTAGCAGCCAGGGAAAAGTCCAACTCACAAGGCAAATCTGTCCATACCTTACGGTTTCTGGCTGAATTAACTTGTACCCATGCAGGGAGAAAGATTTTTCTCGGAAGGTTAAACTGAATGGAGTTTTAAAACACACATACCGATGCTCTGCTTCAAGTGAGCTTGAAAGGACATCAGTCTGAGGAAATGTTGAAGAGCGGATGATCTGCTCGGAAATCACTGCAGCATTTCTATTTTCTTGCGGAATTTCATTTTCAAAGTTTCGGTTTATGTCCCTCTCTTGGTGGCCACTGTTGCTGTTATGTAAATTAAATTCATCGTCGTCCTCCTGTTAAAGAAGCCACACATTTCAGGAAGTTCCAAACATGACTTGCATCTCACAATTTGAAATAAACCTTTATATCACAACACCACAGCAAGTTCTCTTTAAACTGGAAAAAACTCACTAAGAAAAGCATTAAATATGAAAAAGGCTCATTGATGCTAGGGTGCGGGGTAAATTTCAGCAGCTGAATGTTATGCTAAGATGGACAGTATATTCCAGAAGCTGCAGTATGTTTGTTTCAAGTGCTTTGGGAGAGAATTCTGATTCAAAGTACTTTTAATAAAAGAATATAGATCCACATGCTATTCACAGCCTTAAGCATTCCCCTTCCTTTCCCCACAACAGGCACCTTGTGAGGTAGGTTGGGCTGAGAGTGTTCTAAGAGAACTGTGACTGGCCCAGGGTCACCCAACAGGCTTCATGTAGAGGAGTGGGGAATCAAACCTGGTTCTCTAGATGAAAGTCCACTGCCTTAACCTCTACACCAAGCCGGCTCTCTACACTCTCTAATACTTGAGTTTTAAGGAGGAAGACAACTGACTGACTAGAATACTGGCAAGTTGCACTCCCTTTCACATTGAAGTTCAAAACCTGTAAACTTTGCCATTAAGGTTCAGCGCTTCAGTTTTGATACCAAGAAACTTTACAGATAACACAATGTTTAAAATTACTTGGAAGTGTTCAACAGTAGTTAGAAACCTCAGAGCTAAGTCGCAAGTGCTCTGCACATGTCAAAAGAAAAAAGAGGAAGCCTTTAAAATTGAGACGGAGTATAAAAAACATGGGATACAAAGATAATTTATCATCTAAAAACAAGCAATCAACCAAGTAAAAATACTATGCGAGTTGTAGAGTGCAAGAGCACCTTACCCACCACTGTGTGGCAATGGCACAGACACACACGTCTAGATGCAAACAGCTGATTCATACCATTTCTTTCATATAAACAGAAAACAATATGTAGTAATCATGCACACTGGGCAAGCCAACATTTAGAACGGATGGTATATGGATGTATATTGTTACTGCTATCAAAAAAGAATAAGAAAAATATTTGTTTTTTTCCACCATAAGAATGTTAGCAGAACCAGTGCTAAACTGATGTAATTTAGCAATCTTTTAATGAAAAGTTTATATGAAGATCTGCCTGTTTCTAATACTTAGGATGACAGAAAACTTAATGAAGTATATTGTGTGGGTTTGATACAATGCTATCACGAATAACTGTACCCATTACCTTCTCTTGCCCAACACAGTTTTCATCATGTTCTTCTTCAACTCGATCCCGTTTCAACGTCTTCAAAAATTCACTCTTTTTATCAGTCCGCATTCGCGTTAATTTGGTTAAGCGAGGCTGGCCAAGTTTATCCACTGGGGATGAGGAATTTGACCGATTGCACTAACAGGGGAAAAGACAGTATTGAGACATGAGAAAAAGTGAGGAAATTGTAACTTTTGGTCAATTAATTATCCTATTTCAATAACTTAGTTTCATGGGTGTTCAAGATTCTCCAGATTCATTGTTTAATGCACAACCTACCAAACCTGAAGCAGCCCGGACAAAAAAGGAAGAACACATAGCTGAAATACCTCTTTCACTGAATTCTGTGATCCAACAGTCTTGGCAGTAGATTTGAAAGCACTGAAGTTTCCAATACCATATGCAGAATCATGAGGAAATGGAGTCCCAAGTTTGTTCTCTTTTGTTTGGCTTTTCCACTGCATAGACTAAAATCAAAATGGTAAGAGATATCGCAGAAATGAAGTTAACTAACTAGTTTAAAAAAATTCATTTATCAAACATTTCACAGAGAAGAGTCTAAAGCTACTATTTATAAGGGCATGTAAAGCCCCTGACCCGAAGCAACTGCATGCAAAATATGATACAAGAAATACAGAGGTGGTGAGGGACAGTATAGGAGGGAAAAAGGGAAATTAGAAATTAAGGTGAGCAGATAAATGTAGTTAGGCTTAATTTCACTTTCATAAAATGTTATATGAGCATTACAAGCAAAGAAATTTTGCAACAAAGTGAGGCTGCCCTGCTGTCCATACACACCACTTTCAATTCTTACCTTTGCTGGTGGAATTACAGGCTTGGGAACTAAGCCTTTATAAACACTTGTACCAGTCCCATTCTTAGCTGGCTGTGAATGAACGTTTCCTCCCACAGGGAATCCAGATATCTGTAAATCTTTTGTATTGCCTTTTTTAATGACCAGCATTCGTGGAGATCTAGATTTAGGATTTAGAGGATATTCTGAAACGAAGTTTGAAAAGAAAAGAATCAATCCAGATTTCAGGGGGAAATTCAGCACAGCTGAGAGAAAGGCTCAAAAGTTTGTGATTATACATCATACCCAATTCCCCTTATATTTTTGTAGGGCATTTAATCAGAGCATTTGAAGCCAGGCCTATGTCACATGAATAACACCATCACCTGGCTAAAAAATAAAGATCCCTGTACACAGATAGTTTATATATTTCTCAACACAAGGGCTCAGCAGAAGTCCCCAGATTAAAAAATGTATAAATACTGCATTTGACACAAACACACAAAATGAAGCGATTTAGTTATCAATGAAGGACATAATTTTAAGGCAAACAATTCATAACTGACAGAGACAAATTATTATATGGAGAAATAAAATGGCGTATAACGTAGAACAAAATAGTATTCAATAACTTTATTGCACTGCAAAGGCCAGTACTCTTACCCCAAACACCTGCAGCTAAGGATTTATTCTGGTTTGGTTCTCTCTCATATTCAGGATTCAGGGATGGCTAGAGGGGGGGGGGAGATAAAGAAACATACAGCTCAATTATTTCAGAACCTTTTAAAAAGTCTCATATTTGTAATCTAGTGTGTCAACTAACAAATTTGCCTGAGAAAACAGTCAGGTCTTTGAGCATTAAGGGGGTATAGGGTGAGTCATTCAACAGACTATCAATCGGATGAAAGTCCTCTCATTTGGGTGCTAAATTCCAAATTATTCACTCTCCGCTTGGGAGTACTGTATTGGCTTTCAGCCTCTCTTAATTAACTTCCAGAAATGAAATCAGAATACTCATAATCTGATGGCATGGAAAGTGTTAACCTGTTTATATTAAGTAATTGTCATTTTGCAAAGTAAATCCTTGAAGACTGAGATTCACATTGCTCTGCACCCCCCCCCCAACAGTAAATATGAAAGCTAAGAATGAATGCTTCTTTGCCAATGACAAATGTGGGTCTTAGTAAGATTCAATGGAAAGATCCTACTGAGAACTCAAAAGAACTGAATAAATTATGTTTTACTCCGGTTTTTGCAAATCCCAGGCATCAGGTCATCACAGTTCCTAGAAATTTCATTGTGGTGCCTACCATTTTCAGCTATGGTACCTCTCAGCAGTTCTTCCACTGGTGACAAATGGAGGAAGGGGTCCCCTTTGACTACCAAAGGCTATGTTGGGGATTGTGGGACCTACATGGACAAAGGCAATGTGGGACAAGGGCTGTAATATGTAAGGGAATTGGCCGAAATTCAGCTATATAGGTGGCTGGACCCAACCCAAAGCTTTACCGTATTACATCAGAATGTTCCATTGTATGACATAAAAATAAATGTATATGAAGTTCCTGTCACTGCTTGTTTACATTTAAACTCCAGGTTACACCATTCAGTGACGGTGGATGAATTCATTTCTTAGCCATACAGCTCCAATATTGAATTAAACTGAGCTTCGTAAAACAATCATGGAATTATGAGAAACTGGGGAGACGTTAGGCTAGGGTTAGAGGATAACGTTTTCCTGTGATGACAACCAGGGTTACCTCTGTATTAACTGATATACCAGAACCCTTCTGTCATAACTTTAGTAAAATTGTATGAAGAGGTTAGGTTCATGTTTAGCAGTAGCAATAATTATAAAGTTTTTTCATTAGAAAATGAAACCCTGAAGGCTGAAAAATTAGTATGGCTCCTAAATTTGGCAGCTGGCTCCTACAGCCAAAGAAAATGGGTTACAGTCTGGCTGAACTCACAAAATCTTCAGCTTCAAATTGTTTGTGTTCTTCCTTGTCTTCCTTTTTCAGAGTCTCACAGTCAGGTGCATTGCTTTCATGCTGTCCTTGGCTTTTCCCAGAATGGAAGCTGCCGGTGCGAGCACGTGAACTCCCGCCATGGTATCCCCCTCTGTGATTTGTGTTTTCAGTGCCATTTCTACCTTGTGAGCGCCAGCCATTCCTCTCTTTTCTTCCCAGATGCCCTAGGATTTTAAAAATTGAAACACAAAACCAAAAAGCAAGTTTTGACTAGGTTTTATCTTGCAAAAAGGGTATAAAAATTTTTAAAATTCAATGTTAAGCTATACCTAAGAAATTATTCAGACTTATGACTAAATCTTGTAGGGACTGAGCTGTGGTATTGTATGTACCCCTCTCACTCCTTGTTCCCCGCTACATGAGATGAGGAGATACGTGTGGACACAATTTCTCCGTAATCCAGAAAGACAAGCTCCACCTATAACCTAGGCTGGGGTCCGGTATTAATACCAAGTTTCCAAATACCCGGGTACATTAAAAATTGATCTGATTATCCTTACAGGCCTTAAAAAGACCACTTTTTAATGGATTAATCCTGTATTGTTAATTGTGGATTAGGAGGGACAGACTAAAGGAGTACGGCATACTCAATGTGAGCAGGATACTCTGGAGAATTGTTCCGTATATTGAAATGTGTTGTTCAGTGAAATGTTTTTGCATTCTACTTAAAGGGCAAAAGCAGAGAGTTTATGAATAAGGAGTTCCAGAACATTCCAAATAAGACACCGGAAAACAGAAGAACATCTTATCTAAAGACTAAATACAAACCTCCATTTGAACGGCCACTACTAGGATCAAATCCATCAGAAGAGTTGTGCCGCCTACGGTTAACTTCATAACGGTTCTCAGTCCATGAAAAGCTTTCGGAATGCTTCTCAAGATTCAGTGATGACTGAAAATGGAACAACAATATTAAATGACCTTACCTTAATCACCACCTTAATCATCACCAGCCTTCTAAACTATACATCATCCAGATATTGACATTTTCTCAGTCTTGCATACTAAGCATCCTCCAAAATCTTTCTAAATTCTGCCCAAGAGGAAGACAGGGCTAAAATCATGGCACCTAAAGAAAACTCAGTAACACCTACAGCATCCTACCACTCTACATGTGCTCCATCGGATGTAACTGTATATTGGGCTGCACTTACACAACTGAAGTAAATGCCACCAGATGGCTGTAGTTGTCAAGTTCTACTACAAGCATATGTCCATCATAGTTCCCAGATAAAACATTTATAAGTTTCCAGCTGTTCAGGCTGAGCTATTTGGGTCTCTGTTTGCACTTCCAAATCATCCAAGCTAAGTATCATTTATTCTCTATGCTGTAGCCACTGAAAGATGTGCTATTTGGAATCAGTCTTTTAGTGCTATATTCTACACAATTTAAAAATTAGGGTGTGTGGGTTTTTTTAAAAAAGCATTGCTTCGGCATACAATTATGCAGTCTGCATTTTCAACACATGGTGGAGCTAGCGCTCTATCAAGCTTGCTGATGTTGCACTTTCCTTTCGTTAAAAGTTTTGATGATTTATGATCTTTCAGGCTATTATTGATCACTACTCTACAGTAAGATGAAAAACCTGATACCTGAGAAGTCGGCAAGTACTGCTTGTTAACAGAATGCAGGCAGCATTTTTAACTCAAGATTTTTCCACCACATATGGGGCATCCTTCATATTATGAGACTGCTGTTTCCAAACTACAGGACAGGTTCTTGGCTTCAAGGTATTTTTGGCTTGTTTTTAAACATTTACATTAATTTTTTTAAACCCTGAAAATATATCTGCCATAGTGACAATTGAAGAACACAATGAATTGAATCCTACAGAAGTTTTCCACTAAAAGAGCCAGCAAAAACTTTTTGTTCTTGTAAGAGTCAACCAACTGAATGTATTGTGATACTAAGAAAACTTTATTGCCTGAACTAATTTAGTAGATGGAACAATTTCAATCCATCCATGCAAAGCAAATTCCTTAAAATCAAGGGGAAATCAAAATCTTACTTGAAATCACAAAGATCAATTTATTATCTTTATATGTAACTAGGAAAAAGGCCCGTTGTGGAAATAAATACAATGTCCTCTAGAAAGAGGCTCTGGGCGGGTGCCCTGGCCTTGGACACTCAGTGTCAGTTTGCTGTGGCAACCTCAGCAGGGTATAATGACACTGAGTCCACCATTTTCTCCAGAGGAACTGATCTCTGCTACCTAAAGAACAGTTGTAATTTTGAGTGATCTCCAGTCCTCACCTGGAAATTGGCAATGATCATTCCCCAGAAGGGAATAGTTAGTTTGGAGGGTGGAGTCTATAGCTTTGTACCTGTCCGAGGTCCCACACCTCCTGAAACCTCACCCTCTCCAGGCTCCATCCCTCACATCTCCAAGAATTTCCCACCTGGAGTTGGCAACCCTGTCTCCTTCCCAGCCAATCATCAACCTACCTTTATTTCCCCCTCACTCTTCAGCTTTCCACCCACACACGCACACACACACACACACCTGCAGCCTCTCCTGTGCTCTGAAGCCCTGACTGCTAAGTCACATTGGCTGTCATATGAGGGCCACCTCAGCAGCACATAAGGATACAGAGACCACCATTTTCTCCAGGGGAACTGATCTCTGCCATCTGGAAAGCAGTTTTAATTCTGAGTGATCTCCAGCCCTCACCTGGAGATTGGACACATTTTACCTCAGAACAGCAAATTGTTTAGAATGTTAGAGGCAAAAGCCAATCAAGCCACATATGCAAACGACCTGTGTTCCGAGGCAAAGGCCAATGAGGCTGCATATGCAAATAACCTCTGTGTTCTGACTGGCTATGGGGGGGAGGGGAACAGCAAAATGTTTAGAATGTTGGAGGCAGGACTCAGGCAAAGCAGCCAGTGGATAGGGAGACCCTCTGAATGACAGATGAGAGAGCGAACTGATTTTGGAGCGTGTGGAATGTTCTAGAGAAGTGCCACCACCATTCGGCTTTTATTTATAAGGGAGATAGCCAACTATGTTCCTACCTGCGGATACCTAAATTTGCAGATCAGAGTGATTTACGCAGAAATAAGATTTTTTTTAGCAAACTTGGGGGATCCCCCCAGGTTTGCTAAAAAATCCTAAATTGAGAAAAATGAGTGCAGGGGTTGAATAGATCCCAAATGCAGGAACTGTTGTCTGCACAGGAACAGATAACTGAAACATATCTCATGAAACTGTGGCAGGCAAAGAGGGGAAGAGGGCAGGCAAGCGAGCAAGCGGAGCTGGAGGTCAAGAAAAGAGGAGCCAGACTGCTGATGCTGCTACCCAGCAGAAAGGTAATGGTTGTGGCCAGGAACAAGGAAGAAGCAGCAGAGTGGCTTTCTCCTTCCTTTGACAGAAAGTGAACACAAACAAACAGCAGTGGGTAGGAGAGGAGGGAGAGAAGGTGGGTGGGTAAGCTCTCACTGCAGGAGTGAGCAAGGCACACTTCAAAACATTTACTCCTCTCCTCACATGTACAAAAAGACTGGGGTCCCAAACTGACTGTGCCCAAGGTAACCGAGCAAGATATTATAAATAGGAAAATGTAAAGACTGGCTCCTTCCTCCAGCCACAGCAGCTGAGAACAGTTTAAGAACATAAGAGAAGCCAATGTTGGATCAGGCCAATAGCCCATCCAGTCCAACACTCTGTCACACAGTGGCCAAAAATACCAGGTGCCATCAGGAGGTCCAGCAGCACGGCCAGGACACTAGAAGCCCTCCCACTGTTGCCTCCCCCCAGGCACTAAACAGTGCATCACTTGCCCCAGACTGAGAGTTCCTATCTATGCCTTGTGGCTAATAGCCACTGATGGACCTTTGTTTAAAAACAAAGAATCTGTGTCTCCTATCCCCCCCTCCCATCTGATTGGATTAGTAGCAACACTAAAACCAGAGGGGAGAACCTGTTACAGTGGGGTCAAAAATTAAGCAGATCTCTGAAAGATAACAATGCTGAAGGCAGCATAGAAAACAGGACTATCACCCCCACCACATACACACAAATTATAATATTAATGAAAACTAACCACAACAGAATTCTGCAACATTTTGTTACATGCCCCACTTGTCAACCAAACTAAAGCACACTTCCAATTTTGTGGCAACAATTAACAGGTTGCTTTACAATTAAATACAGCTGCTATACAGTTTAGGAATATAATGCAAAAATCTCAGCTTTATGCAGTCCACACTTTTTTTGCACTTCAGAGCTGTTTCTGCTAAGAGATACAATATTTATGTTTGGCTTTTTCTATGTATGCAAGGATACTAATTAAGACCATGCCCTTGAATGAGAAGTCTTCGCAGTTCTTTGGAAATGTCCCACTGAACAAAGTGTTTTTAACTAACCACTTTAAAATTGAAACAATGTGTAATAAAATCTCACTTTTAAAATTTCAGCTGTAGTGCATTTTCTATTTTTGAAAAATGTGATTTAAAAATGCAATTGGAATGAAACACAAAAAATATATAACTTCTTAAAACTGAATTTATGACCCTGTTGTGGATAGCTGTTTTTTTAATAAAGAAAAAAAATACAAGAAAACAGCTTTCTCAGTCATCATATAGCATAACTGTTCAGGCAGTTATACTGTAGCTTAATACAGGACTGACAAGTCAATACAGATATCATCTGCTGCTCCACCAGAATAACCTTCTGTTTTATGCCATCTACTTTCTATCTCAGACTAAAGGTTAGACTTTATTGCATTCACTTTAGAGTTAGGCATCCACTTAAATCACATTATTTATTTTTTTAAATCCTAGTTAAAACAAACTCAACCTAAACTGCAATTCTTTGAAGTCTATTTTTCTACCCTGAAAACACCGAAGCCAAGTATATTTAGATATGGTTTCCACAATTTTAAAAGCTGTTGTTTAGGCAAGTTCTTGTGATTCAGCAGATAATAAGAAATTCACCTTTGATGATGATGATGGTGGAGTAGGAAAATTAAGCCAGGCTGGAGCAAAGTCATGCTGCGCCATTTAGGTCCAGTCTCACCAAGTCAGTGAAACAAGGCTTCAACACCTCATTGCAAATGCCTGTCAGAAAAGTGAGACATATTGTTACATATAAAGACACGGGGGAAATATTTTAGTGTCTAAATCATCAAACTTCATTTTCTTTACTTGCGGAAATGGTTCCCAATTGTATCAATTGCCTGTGGGAAGCCTACACAGTGGGATCTACATAAGGACTTCAGTGGAAACTGCACAAGCAGAAGCACGCCAAAAATCCAATTTAAACTACAAAGCAAAAAAACCCCTGAAGTATATTAGATTATCTGGCTAAACTGTGCAAGACTAAAACTGATAATAGTAAAACACAAGAAGTCTGAACATCAGCATTCAATGAGAACTCTTAGGCAATGCTAGAAAAACAGCACTAATTACAGTATAGTTCACCCAATCATATATCTATGCTGCGAGCTATCCTGTTTCTACCTCCCTCCTCAAAACGCTTGAGGCATTTTACAACATTTTTTTAAAAAATACAACACTGTTCAGTATTATACACTTAGAAGCAGAATAGAAGGTTCAGCTGAAGCAATGATGTTCTCCACCTTCTGCCATTCAGTCCTAGCTCTCTTGCAATGCAGAGGGAAATGAAAACTTTGCATGTTTAAAACCTACCTTGGTTTATCCACTAAGAACCAAAACAGACATGACACTGGATGAACATATTCTCTTTAAAAAGGCAATAGGTACAGTGGGAGGGGGACGTTTGACATTCCCCACACTCAGTTTCACCAATTGAAACCTTACCCTTTCCTAGCTCCACAAAGCAAAAAAGAAATGGCACAGAGGATGGCTACTTTTCCCTTCTTAGGACGAGCAGCACCATAAGGTTTCAGTGGGCAAACAGAATTGGGGGAGAAGGGTTAAACGCACTCTCAAGGACTGCAACCATTTCCTTTCTTTAAAAAAAAAATCCTGGGATGACCTGCTCACTCATTACCCAGTATCATACCTGGTTTTCCCCTAACTTTCATACTATCACTCCTATTCCTTAGATATGACATCTTCACATAACCTTCCCAGAGCACAAATCTCAATTCCCCTCAGGAAATGAAGTACTTTATTGTTGCTGTGAAACTCAAATAAAAATACCCACCTTACAGCAATGATACTCAGCAAGAGGCATTAATTGAAAACAGGAGGAGTAGGAGTTGGATTTCTATCCCACCCTTCACTCAGAGTGGCTTACAATCTCCTTCCCTTCCTCTCCCCACAAAAGATACCTTGTGAGGTAGATGGGCCTGAAAGAGCTCTGAGAGAACTGCTCTGAGAGAACTGTGACTGACCCAAGGTCACCCAGCTGGCTGCATGTGGAGGAGTGGAGAATCAATCCTGGTTCTCCAGATTAGAGTCCACCGCCCTTAAGCACTGCACCAAATTGGTGTTTACTGAGCACACACCAAATATACAATTGTAAGATTTTTTAAAAAATAATTTTTAATATGTAACAATAACTTTTTAATTGCTAGATCACATCTGAATAATTGTTCTTTCCCCAATAGAGATTAAAAAACTCCTGGAAATTTTGCAGCCACAGGAAAACAGGCTTTATTTTTTCCTGCCATTTTTTTTTTTTGGGGGGGGCAGGGGGTGGAAATTCTGAGGAAAATACTTTCCTAAATTGCTTAGCGGTTTAACACAAAATTCTTAATTTATAACTTAAGTTTGCATGTAAGTTGTATGTTTGCCAGATTTATACAATTTAAAAGCATACATGTTGTTTTTAATGTGAAAAACTGCAAGTATACACAATAAAGAGTTGCAGAAAGGTGGGCAAAATAAAAGCTGAAAGTAGAAAAACATTTTGTAGTAAATAAAAGTGTATTATTTAAACACACTCTCACTGAGTCACAACAGGTAGGACTGCAAGCATGTTTTGACAGTAAGATAAGAACATCAAAGACACTTCTATTTAATAATATATTATCATTAAACACATTACAGCTTATTAATTGTTGCCAAATTTATATTTAAACAAAAAACTTCTGAAAACACTGCACTATGTCTACAGTATAAGATGGTTATTCAGTCCCCCCACCCAAATTTCCAAATTTTTCCACTGGAAAGATTTGAGATTTCTCAGACTTTTTCATGCTGTGTATTTGGGAAGAAAGAAATGTTTTGTAAAACAAGATTTTTCTCAAAGAAAAAATATTTCATAGGTTTTATTCAGTGCTCCCTGAAATTTCCCAATTTTTTCCATTGGAAAAACTGAAAAAGTTCTGAGACTTCTTGATGTTATATATTTTGAGTGTGGGAAAATCTTGCCTTAAGAAGCATTTTATTCATGCTAAAAGAGAAATACTTCATTGGCTTTTTTCCAGTAATCCTGCCACCGGAGAACCTGGGGAAGTCTCAGGAAAAAAGTTTTTTCCCAAATCCCCCTGGCCCCTGGCCATGCCCCACCACTGTTGAAACTCGACTGGCTCTTGTGTATCTTGAGTGAGGAAGACTTTTGACACAAAACTGTTGAAGCTTTCAACTTCTCCAGAAATCTTTACTAGGCAGAATGTTTTTTAAGCATGTTTATGTTAAGACACGTGAATTCTGTGATGACTGCACAGAGACTACAAAGAAGGATGAGTGTGGGCAGGACAAACCCATTTTCCATCTCTGGCACAAGACCTGCAGCTCACCTCCCCCATCCTCCAGTTCCCCCAACAGCAGCTGTTTCAGGGTGGGAGATAAAGGTGTCCCTTGCTCGAAAGCCAGTCAAATCCGACTCTAGGGTTGCGATGCTCATCTCCGTTTCCAAGCCGAAGAGCCAGTGCGGTACGAAGACTTCTCCGTGGTCATGTGGCCAGCATGACTAGACGCCGAGGCGCACGGAATGCTGTTACCTTCCCACCGAAGTGGTACCTACTTATCTATTTGCAATTTCTTGCTTTTGAACTGCTAGGTTGGCAGGAGCTGGGGCCAGAGACGGGAGCTCACTCCATCATGCGGCACTCGGGTCTCAAACTGCTGAACTACTGACCTTTGGGTCTGCAGTTCAGCATCTTAACCATATGCCAATTACAAGACCCACCAAGCACAAGCCTTAACACACATTCCACACTGGAGAAGAGTGCTTAGGAGAACCACAGATGGTGCCCAAGCCACTCAATATCACACCTTTACAGTCTAAGTAAGGCTGAACTACAAATACAAGATACATCCTAGATTGAAAGGTTGAACTCACAACAAAGGTCCATTTCACATGATGAACTGTCACACCCATAAGCAAAAGTAGGCTTGCCAGTTTGGTGTGGTGGTTAAGAGTGGCTGACTCTAAATTGGAGAACCGGGTTTAATTCCCCACTTCTCCAACATACAGCCAGCTGGGTGACCTTGTATCAGTCACAGTTCTCTCAAGAGCAGTTCACTCAGAGCTCTCTCTCACAGGGTGCCTGTTATGGGGAGAGGAAGGAAGGGAGATTGTAAACCGCTCTGAGTTTGGAGTCTCCAAACTCTTCAGTTTAGAGATTTCCACAGCAAATTCAGAGATCCATACTTTGCACATCTCTCAGGGTTAGGCACCCCTACTCACTAAATTTTTTTAAAATTTACTACCTCTTGCCAATATAGATCAGATCAACAGTGCAGAAAATATTGGAAACTCCAACAGTGGGATGCAACATAGACAGCACTGCATACACAGAAAGAACCCAAAAAGATTGGTGGGCTCAGACAGTTGCATAAAGCAGTCTTGCACATCTGAAGATGCTGCCCATCCGTCTATCTACACAGGAGGGAGCTCAGAATGTCCTCTTCCCCAAACAAAAGAAACCTTCATGTTAAGTCCAATATTTCACTTTTACTTGAGGAGGACAGTCTGGAACGTTACCAAGCAATACATTCATACACGGAGGAAAATCTCATCCACTAACTAGGATAGAAGGAAATTCAGACCACTTCTGCTGCAAGATTCACAGCCCCAAGGCCATAAGAGTTATGGCTACCGAGTCCAGCCTGTAACGTTTGACAAATGTGGACATAAGTACCCATGTTAAAGCTTTTCAAATGTTTGACAGGAAGCATTCATGTTAAAAGCCACGGAGGTCACTGCACAGTGGACTGAGCATGGTGTTACACCTGCTGGCACTTGCCACCCTTGAGATTAGCATGCCAATGAAATGCATTCTTTGAGAGTAGTCTTGAAGACCTAACAGCGGGAAGGCTGTTAAGCAGGGCTTTTTTGTCGTGGCATCTGAGTACTGAATACTGGTGGGGGGGGTCCCAGTCTTGAGCCTTGGGTGCCAGCTCACTCACTGAGCCAGAGTGAGTGCGCACCCTCAGTAACAGCCTAGGAGAGATCTGGAGAGGGAGGAAGAATTCAGGGAATCAGTACAACCACAGTACTGGAACCTCTTTTTTACAAAAAAGACACTGGCTGTTGGAACTTCTGAAAGGTCTTGTACATCTTAGGTAAACACAAAGAGTTGTTTGCAGGTCTAACAAATGCCATTCCTTCCCCTTTGGATGTGAAGGATTTGGGCAGGACACAGGTAGACTGATTTCCTGAGAGCAGTGAAACACAGAATTTACCTTTGGCATAAAGGCAGCGTCTAGATGGAGGATGACTATCTTTGTGGAAAATGCACGGTCCTCTGGAAAAAGACAGTGCCCCCAGTTCCAACACTGTCCTGGCTGATGCCACTGCCACTAAACACAAAAGAAATTTGTGGTTCAAAGGAAGCCTAAGTGTGTGGTTGCAGTTCCACATGCAGTCACCATCAAAAAAAGCAGAGAACAACTGGTGGATGTAGAATTGTCTCACACCCCCAAGGAAGCACTTTACTAGGTGATGCCCTGGATATTGGGACTCATTAATTTGAGGCAGCACTGAGGCCAAAGCCATAATCTGCCTGAGAAGTATACTGGGTCTTAAACCTTGAGACCTTCTTTCAAGAATACTGTGATCTGAGGAGGGTGAGAAGCTCGCACACTGAAACCCTTTCTTCTGCACTATTGAACATATGCTTTTCAAGTGCTGTCATAGACTCTGAAAGTTGACTTCCTACAATAGCAAGATCTGTGTGACATTTTTTGAAAACCCTGCTTTAGTCAATGCTTCCCACTCAATCACTGAGCAGTCAACCAAAGTCATCCCAGATCTGGATGTGAAATTGGTCTCCATGACAACATTTCCACTGATATGGGAAGTTCACAGACCCTGTTGACAGGGCCTTGAGAACCACGGCCATCTGAAGATGCTGTTCTAGTGCAATAGACTTCTGATATGATAGAAAGGTCAACTGGACCAAATGAAAAGTGGGTTATCATGAGGAACACTGTTGACTGAAACAGTAATCAGACACTGAAACTGAGTTTAAAATATCAAATCCATGGGAAAGGATACCCATGTCAGCTGGATTGCCTGTATGCTTTTCTTCCCAGTCTCTTCCCAGAGGAATACTTTGTCCTTTACAGAGTTCATGACTGTACCCAGGTGAAGAACTGATCGCAACCAACTAACTCTTCTGATAATTTATGACGAAGCCATGTTGTTTCAAACACTGCATCAAGAGTCTTGAGATTCTGCAGGATCATATCACTGGAAGGTGATTTGATTAGGTGGTTATATGGATGAATGTGGATGCCCTTAAGTGCAGGGATTGGTTATCAGCAAGACAATCAGTGTGGTAAAGACTCATGGTGCAGAAGGTAGCCCAAATATCATGGTGCTGCACTAGAACTGCCAATTCTTAAATGAAAACCTGAGGAATCCCCTACAAGCTGGTAGGATGGGAATACGTAAATATATTTCGGGGAGGTCTATAGATGTGATAAGAGTCCCTAATTTGAAGAGGTTCAGCAATAGTTTTTAAAGTTTTCCATCCTGAATTTTTCATGTCACAAAATGATTCAAGAATCTTAGGTCTAAAAATTGACCTCCAGGGGGTGGGTTGTTGTTGTTTCTTTTTTTTTGGGGGGGGGAGGGAGATGAAAAACAACTGCATAAATGCTCAAGTGTCTCTGCTGTGATGGTACAGGCTTAACTGCTTGTACCTCCAGCAGATGAGACATGGCTTCTTTTGTCTGGGTATTTGGAAACTGCATAGTGTAGAAATCTGTCTTGTAGGGCACCATATCCTGACACGACAGTGCTTCTTACTCACTTGTCTGAGGCTGACTACTCCCATAATCTGATGGAATCCTTCTAGCTGACTCCCCACTGTGCTGCAGACACAGTTCACCTAGCTTCAAAGTACTGAAAGGGTGTCCTGAAGCTTCAGCCCAATTGTTCTGTCTGTGTCACTGTCTGGATCTGTTCCACAAAGACCTTTTGATGTGGCTTTGGGATCTTGGGAGATCTTTAGATCGTAAAGCCTCTCATCTGTCTGAGATGGGCATGGGCTTCTTCTTACCCTTTCGCTCTACAAGGATCGTCTAGCTGACCAGCAAACAGCATACCCTCTGAAGCAGGGGCTGGAAGCTGTGGGACTTGGAAGATGTGTCATGGTTCCGTTCTTTAGGCACAGATACTTGCAGGTGGATACCACTGATGCCACTGCTCGAGCTGCAAGTTTCTGCAAAGTTAGGCCATGTTAAGATGAATGCAGCAGTTCTTTCCAGCCTGAAAAGTTAACTGAGGACTTTTTCAATGGAAAAATCAATTGCAGCACAGGAAATAACACACTTTTAAACTTCCACTACAGACCACAACATTCAGAATTATCAGTAAACACAAGTACAGAGTAAGCTTTAGAAGAACACCGTTCTCTCCCAATGGAAACATCACATAGAGTAAACTGGATAAAATTCACCAAATGCCATTTAGGTAATAAATAGTTCTCATGAAAGATTTCTGATGAAGAGATCAGTCAAGAAGCTTGTTAAATTCACCTCCTACAATGATGCAATTATATGAAAACTGGCTCCATGTGTTGAAAACATGTACAAACAATTTGAGGAGCCGGATATGTAATTTAGCTGGGGACAGACACTTAAGCATAGTCAAAATATGCATCAGCAGATTTTGCCTGCAGTACAAGAACACACCCATAAGGGTCTTCAAATTCTTATTTATTTATTTATTGTTTACATTTCTATCCCGGCCCTCCAGATATCTGGCTCAAGGCGGCTAACAACATTTAAATGGCATAAACAACCAAGTTAAAACAATAAATATCATACCAGTTAAAACAACACCAGTTGCAATTAAGCCAACAGAAATGGCAGTAATCCAAATCCCATCCAACGATAGGGGTAGCGTCCAGTGGAATCTCAGGCCCGAGGGTGTTCTAAAATTTCAGACCAGATGATGTTCCAGGGCACACTCATCAGTGGCAGCCCCTAATCGAAAGCCAGGTGGAAGAGCTCCGTTTTACAGGCCCTGCAGAACTGTAAAAGGTCCCACAGGGCCCTGATGTTCTCTGGGAGCTCATTCCATCCTCTCTAAGAACTTGAATGTTAAATAGATCCAGGTGGTCAGCTGTGTTGGTCTGAAGCAGTAGAACAAATTTAGAGTCCAGTGGCACCTTTAAGACCAATATAGGTTTAAGACCTTTTGATGGTCTTAAAGGTGCCACTGGACTCTAAATTTGTTGAATGTTTTTATGCATCAGGGTAACCACACCCTTTTGAGCATTTTGATTGTACTGTTGCACAGCTTTTGCCAATCCAAATGTATCTAAAAGTGAGGACAACATAAACATTTGAGTGAGATGTGGTTTAAATAAGTGAAATTTTTGAATACTGCCCCACTTACTACTCTCTTTTTTTATATTTCATTTTACTGTTGTGCTTTAACAACTCCAGTTTCTTGGGGAAGGGGAGTCATCTACTCAGCAGAAGACGAACAGGTGCTTACAAGGAATAGCAAGTTTGTGCACTCTGGCTTTAAACTTTGTTAACTTTGAATGCTCCTTGCAGTTGGACTACCTATCTTGGGCCCTTTCGGGGGCTTCTTGTCTGCTGCCCCTCTCTAAGTGGAAAGGAGGAGGAGGTCAGATTTATACCCTGCCCTTCACCCAAAACAGCTTACAATTGCCTTCTCCTCCTCTCCCCACAACAGTCACCCTGTGAGGTAGGTGGGGCTGAGAGACTTCTGAGAGAACAGTGACTGGCCCAGGTCACCCACCTGGCTGCGTGTGGAGGAGTGGGGGAATCAAAACCGGTTCTCCAGATTAGAGTCCACCACTCTTAACCACTATACCAAACTAGCTCATTAGTGTCTACTTATGCTACAAGTGGATCCCATTCCTCCCGCAATATCGATTTGAACATTTTTCATATGCTAAGTTAACATCCAATCCAGACCTAAACATTTAGAAGAAATATTTTATTTATAGAAGGCTTGGCCTGATAGGGGTTTTTTCACATTGGACCACCTGATAGTCTATGATGATAAGATTTGTCATTTTCTCATCTGAGGTCTAGATATGACTTGTCAACTTCTAATGCATGGCCGTATCTACAATTGCAACATCTGTTGGTATCTAAATATGAACCTGCAGCATTAAGTGTCTCAGAGTCCCCCTTGCTCCTGGAAATTCTAATTAAATTGATGCAGAAAACAAAACCTACAGTATTTGTCTATCAATATTTGATGTCAATTAATACATGATATGCAGAGTCTCAGGAATGAATGGAATAAGGAGCTAGTTTATACCTGCTCGCTCTATGGATTTTAAATTGTGACATTCAGCAAAAAATTATGTTAGGACACAACAGTGACACCTTAGCAAAGGACTGCATAAAGCGTCTAACTGCTGGCTTTATAACTCACATGACAGGTTCCTTAAACATATGCTTTGATTCAGTTTTTCTGGGAAGAAGTTATTACTCATAAATTTTCTATTATAGCGTTAATTGGTTTTTTGAGAGTGCTTATATCCTTTTAAACTATCTGCCCATCTCTTGGAGGCTAACAGATGGTCAATGAAAATGGACCTCCACACCCTTATTACAGCTAAAAGACTTGTATGACAACATTGGAGAGATAAATGCCCATCTCTGGTAAATCACTGGACTGAGGACCTTAGAACGTTATCAATATTTGAATTAATGGCACGCTGACGACAATTGTGTGTGGACTTATTTTTAGATATCTGGAAACCTTTTATAGAAACATACGTGTAGATCTGCCATCACTGTTATACTTTTGTCTCTATATATACCTCTTTTCTTTTTTCTTTTATTTAGTTGCTGGATTTTGAGGGGTTTTTTCCCTTGTTCTTTTTTTCCTGTGTTTTTTTTTTTTACAGAAACAAAGTGTGTTGGACGAGTATGTGGGAGACCCAGGTTCAGATCCCAACTCATGCCATGGAAGCTGGCTGGGTGACCTTGGGCCAGCCAGCTTAACCTAATTTTCAGGGTTGTTGAGAGGATAAAATGGAGGAGAGGAGAATGATGTAAACCATCTTGGGCCCTCATTGGGGAGAAAGGCAGAGTATAAAAGAATTTAATAAATAAATATTGCAAATCCATCAATATGAGGGATGAGTGTTGCCAGCATTGCTGCCTGTCTATACAGTGCACTTGTTTTCAGTTTTTGATCAACACCATTCTAAAGGAGGGTAAGGATTGAGTGGATCCAAGTGCTTCCCATTGTACCATCTCACACTATGCCTTCCAGGAGAAATTATATACTTTGATGGTGGAAGGTTTCCTAAAGAATAGCATGCTATCAGCAACTTTCCCTAAATAGCCTAGGTCTA